CGCACCTTCTCCTCAGTAAGTCTCTCGACCTTCAATTGTCTTGCTACCTGGGTAACGCTGAGAACCCCGCTCGACAGCCTCAAACGCTCGCCGCAGAACTGGTATGGGTCAAAACTGACGTTGCAAGGGACAAATACACGCTCTGCGAGAAAGCGACGAACGTCACGCACTGAGCAGCTCATCTGATAGTGGCAGGGTTGGTTCCGGAAGTCAATCTGTTGCCATTTGCCACATCCGCTCAGTGCGCCTAAGTCCACTCGTTATCAATGGCACAGCAGTCTGAAGCTGCCATAGGATAGATCAGCACGGCAGTCGGTAATCCACGGCAGTCAGACATATCATGAGCCCGGAGCTGATAGTTAGACGCGAACAAGGAAAAGGAACGTCCAGACTGTGGCCAAAATATCCCAATATCGACGACCGGAACGTTTTCGCTCTAGAGCTCTACCCCTGCGATGTGGCTACCATGTCGCTGAAACCAGAAAGACGTCTGACGGACTCTCACCGCCTTCTCCTGACGGCCTTCCCTCCTGGCGCGTGAACAACCCATCATGCTGCGACATACAGGAGGGAGCAGACCAGTCACATCAAAGCTCGTGCACAAGACCTTTTATTGTCGCTTGTATTATTTACGATCGCTGAAGCAACCTGCCGCCGTCGCGTATAGCGACTTAGACTCTGCAATCCAGATCTATTACTACCTAAGCCATACGTCAGATACAACGTTCAATGATCGGAGACTGCTGTAACGACGCACCATGGTACAGCTCTATCTCAGCAATAACTCCTGCGTGCCAACAAGCTTGTCTAAAGACCGTCGGCAAGTCTCGAAAGTAGATGCCCTTCGACGCGTGAACAGGGTTGAAGCCAAGCCTCCCCGCGCCTTCCGAGCGCATGTTATGCTCGGGTTCTCACGCGTCGCGCCATCCCGCCCCAGAGGAGTGCCTGTACATTTGCCCGTCACCCTAGCTAGCTCATTTACTGGCATGCACTACTGGACTAAATGAGATAGCCCAGCTTCTACCGTGCAGTTTTCACCACTCTACACCCACCGGGGTCCGACCACAACAAATACGTACAAGCGTGAGCTATGGATATTTACAACGCTGCCTGGCAGTATGTCCGACTATGCCCTGGTACTTACTACACCGCCGGAGCGATCCTAGGTTGCGTCAAGGTTGGCGACGGTCAACCTTGACCGGACCTCCGATCAAAGGCTTAGCGAATCCACTCTGACCGGGCTCGAGGCAATTCTATCCGCCCTAACTGATCCCAGGGCTGGGGGGCCCAGACGTCCACGATGTTATACCCGATACACGTTGGAGGCTAGGGCCGCCCCGTGAATGATATATGAGCACCCATGTTCTGCGGAGATGGTCGATCGTGTCTTCACTGAGTATTGGCTGAGCATCATGGCAGGGTGGGCAAATAGATTGAGCCAGCCTTGGCCGCACACCCGTAGAGAACTAGCCAGTCAATGTATGAGCTCTTTTTGGAGCATTTTCTCAAAATCGCAGATTAAATCACACCAAATATAAAAGAAAAACATTATTCTATTCAGGGTACAGAGCGTATTGTATGGTAGGATAGCGTCAAACGTGATGTATGCAATAGCAATCAGATAGTCTACCACCAGAAATGCTTCTCGACGTGCTCTTGCCACGGCATAGGAGATGGATTCTCGGGACGGGCGAGTGAACGACCGTATTTCTTACGATCTTCGTCGAGGACCAGTTTGAATGACCTACAGCCGAAATGAGCATAGCATGGGAAGACGAATGCGCCGTTGACTCACTTCTTCATTGCTTCGTTGCGAGCAGGACCCTCGGGATACTGCGAGAGATGCTTGCGGAGCTCCCCAAGTTGATAATCCGCATACTGCCAGAAGTCCGCGTCACTGAACTTGGGGTTTTGCGCAGAATTTGACGGAGTCGTGGCATCGTCAACGTCGGTCTCCGGAGTGCCTTCGTCCTCTGCGCGTGAGCGACGTTGTGGCTTCCGCCATTGGGCAGGACGACCCCGGAAGTCAGACATAGTCATTCGCTACACGACCATGAGAAAAAGATCGGGTACAGGAATACAGAGGCGAGGAAGGACGTACCAGGTACGCCACATGACTGAAATGTTTGTCGTTCAGGACCATTCCCGTCGGTCGCGCAAGCTCCTCGGCGAGCTTCTCGACGGTCGCCTTGCCTTCCTCTATCTGCTTGTGAGTTGGTTTGATTGAGCTGTCAAGCTAACCATTGGTCAGCAACCGCAGGCACGCAATAAATAACATAAATCGGCATACCAAAGGGCGCATGCGACCACGAGCTTTCGAATAAGCGTCTTTGACGAATGCAATGAGGTGCTTCTTGAGCTCCGCGTCTTCGAGAACCTCGCGGGTAGTGTAGAAAAACTTCGGCTTCGCACCCAAGTATCTCTGTGCACGTCTCAGATATGAACAATTGATCAAAGGGCGAACATACCACTGCCTGGTTCGAGACATCGTTCAGCCAGGCCGGTACCGCTGGTGAGAGAAGCGACGCCGTGGCTCGGTGTTGGAGTAGATCCTATGGCTCGTCAGCAGATCCATTCGTCAAGCATGCCAGCTGATCAACACACCTGGAAGTCCTTTGAATAAATACGGAGGAGGTTCTTGTACTTGAATTCAGCCCTCGAGGCGTGGATGTACTGTGCTTGCATGTGCATCCTTTGAAGCTCTGGGCCACACTACAATCACAAGTCAGAGTTGTGTCGAGCGAGGTGCAGCGAAAAGCGATACCTCTACAAAATCGTTGAGACTGTCCGCGGGGATTTCTTTCTCTTCGCAGACTTTGCGCGCTGTCACCCGCAACCGCTCAGCCGAACGAGGCGTGTAGGCACGCTCACTGAGCTCAGAATGGGAAAGTTGGTGCAAGCCGGGCGTAGAATCGTGGTCGTCGTCCTCATCGTGGTTGCGGTCAAACGACGGAGGCAGCGAACCAGCCTGTGATCCGCGCTCGGCAAATCCCGCGTTCCCGGAGGGCTGAGTGTTCAGACCCTGCTGCATTCCCGTATTTGCGGACTCCGTAGATGCCGGAGCTGCATTAGCGTTGGCGAGAAGATTCATCAGGGTGCTCATGACTGGTGAGAGGGGAGGTGCGACGGCGGGATGAACTCGGCATTTCGGTTGCGGGCTTTTATATTTGTGCTGAGGTGGTGCATTCAAGCGAACCTCATGCGTTTCAGAGAGCGCACTGGTTCAACTCGCTTACAGGAGCTCCAAATCATCAACACGGTATCACTGAGATGACCGCATCGACACCCTTGCCTGACATCCCTTCTGGCTTTTGCCTTAATCCACCATGATGTCCCCGATTTTGACACCGTCACAACCACCAAACTCTGCTAGAGTGGACATAATCAAAGGAGACCGTGCAAGGGTCGTACTCGATAACCCAGACGTCAAATATCTCGATGTCATATGTCATGCATCTTGCCATGGTTCGGCCGTCACGTGACTCGGCAATATCTTTATTATTTTCCTTTTCCTTTTCTTTTCTGACTCGGCATCTCGGCATC